TCGTTATCCATCTCTAAAATCTTAATGGGATAGAAATATTTAAGCCAACCAGTGCAGAAGATAATAGAAAATTATGTTTTTTTATCTCAATTATATCAAATTATAGATAGTAGGGCAATCTTGATCATTGTCCTCCGCATAATATGGCAAAAATTCCATATTGTATATCGGCATATAATGTGGCCGAGTATTTTTTTCGTCTGTTCTCTTAGGTATAGGGGCAATCTTTTAATTTCATTTTAAAGCATAGTATAATATTAATATTTTTTTTTTAAATGTTTATTTATTGTTTATGTGTATTTATTTATGTATATTGTTGACAATTTTATATTTTATATTAATTTGATAATTGGAACTATTTTAACTGTCTGACCTTTACCGAATATAATTTTTAATTTATGCTGAAGAGTGTTGTAATGTCTTTTATACAGTATAGAAAGCAATTTGTATTTCCATAAAGATATTAATGTTTGTTATTTTGTGATAGACTCCGTTTGTATAGGGTTCTTCCCTTAAAACAAATAAAGATTTATTGATATTAAAATCGTTATCCATCGTTGCTACATTCATTCGACGGATAGATTCAGTGGATTGATGAGCTGAATCACTAGCGGATTCAGGATTTAATTTTGGGGGGGGGAGCCTCAGCCCGAAACCTTTTTTTTTCATAAAAATAACGATAATTATTTTGGAAAAACAGAAAGAAACTAACTACCTATATGAAATGATGTTTAAGTTATTCCTTAAGTACTTTTAAATGTAACTACACGAACAATAATACTTTAAGAGGTATTTTTAAAAAAAAATTTCCCATAAAACATGGTTATATTTTTCCATTTTGGGGGAGACCTTCAGCCCGAAATCCCCCTCCCTCCCCCCGTAGATCCGCCTGTGAGCTGAGTACAGAAAGTTGCCCGTAGTAATAGACAGCAGACTTGTTAAAATCTTAGTATACGCTTGAAGAAGTCCCTTTAACAAATGTTATTATAACTATAACTCTTTCTTGATTAATTGCAGTTGATCGATTATAGTTTTTTTGAAGATTAGGAGAAAATAACGTAACAATTTCGCTGAAAGGAGGAGCTAGATAACCCAGAAGAGTGGAACCATAATCGCCGAGAGCTATCATCAAAGAGAACGGTTCGCGGAAAGTTCAAGGTCGCAAGAGCGGGGCAGGTTCTGACATGCTCCCAGATTACCAACACCCGGCATCTTTGATCCTCTACAAGAGATTTAAACATCACAGAGGTTCAAAGTTTTGCGCTGATTAACGACTAAATCCATTTCTTATTTATTTCAGAGAATCGCTAAAGTTTCTTGTACGAATAGGACGCAAATATATGTAATAGTTTCCTGAAATAGAATGCCAAGATAATCTAGATCAGGAGAACCATAATCGAGCGTTTTATTTTTTAAATCATCTAAATACAAAAAACTGATTTTCCTTGAGGAAAGTTACGTTTTTGTTTTAGAAAGATATTTTTTCGGCATTTCCAAGAGTTTACCACTTGAAATTAATTTATTTACAGTGCCACTTTAAAACATTTCGCAGAATAATTTATGTTTAATACATTTTAGGGATATTCGAAGAAACCTTTGAAATCGGCCATAACACAAAGTTTGTATTAATAATTTTGGAAGTAGTGTTGACAATAGAACGAACTGTAGAAGATGGTTAGAGGTTGCGGTCATTGCTGAAATAAAACGAAAAAAAAAACAACCTTTCTTCATTGAGTATCGACGTTTGGAAGATTCTTACAGCCAATTAGATATAAAATTTTACGTGATGGTGAACGCCTAAAATTTCCATTTTCCTAAATTTATTAACAAATCTCTTAAATAATTAGCATGTCACAACTAATGAACTCCAAATAATCAGAAAAACCTTTGTTTTACGATAAAAAATTTTACTTTTCAATAACTTCATTAAACTAAGGCAAAGTATTTTGGTTATTGGTAATTATTTGCACAATTCATAGTCAGAATTTTTTTTCATGATTTCCTCTCTTTCATTCTGACGGTCTTTGGTGACTGAACTAAGATATTTGAGGTTGTGAACAAACGCAAACGTCCCTACGACGGAATTCTGCAGTTTGAGCTATTTTATAATATAGTGCTAATAAATTGAAGAGAAGAACCAATAAAGAACTGCTCATAGAAACATGCCAATTAAAGAAAAGAGAGACCACGTGGGAGTCCGCCAAAAATATGCAAAAGATGGAGATGTAAGTTCGAGGTCTAAAATTTGATTTTTACATCTCGGGCATATCCCATACAAGAAAAAAAAATGTCTTTTCCCATTAGATGCAACCCCCTTTTCATGAAATGGTTACTTACCATTAACTAAGGACTGATGGTTGTTCAGACGGCCAAATATCTATAAGGTGCCAGATATTTTATCATGATGATGGGGATTTTAGACGATGTATCAAATGATATTTAATACTCCAATTTTTAATACTCAGTATAACTTTAATAATTAAATGCTACCATTTCAACCGGATCTCTTGAAACCTCGGAATTCGGGACCGTTGGTCCAAGAACCTCTCCCTCAAGAAGAGGGTTTTTTTCAGAATGACCTGACCAAGTCCTAGAATTGGTTTGCTTTGGTGAAATTCAATATTACATCAAACCAACAAATGGGTTTCATAATATGATAGTTCTAAAAATAAATACAAATTTATACCGTTTTAACGAATTTTCATTTGGCATAGTATTTTCTCAGTATTTTATAAACTGATTGAACAGTAGAGTCATAGTTCTTTGAAGAGTTCTCTAAGCCCTGAAGGTGACAGTGAAGACATAGATTTAGATTAAATAAACTCAAGCTTGTAAGACTTTAAGTAAGAATATTAAATTGAGTTTAACATTAAATTTAAGTCAACATTATTACTTCAGATAAAAGCACTTTGGTTACCGCGACCTACTTGGGTCTAAGCTGTAAACAGATCAATAAACGCCTACACTGTTTACTACAGCACAGCAGGAAATTATAAAAAAAAAGTTATGCTTAAGCAGATTAAAGGATACCTATATTATAGAAGTCAGTCGATATGCTAATAGCAAACGGATGTAATTACCTAACCTAATCTACGTTAATCACAAAAACCGGTACGGATCAAGGAGTTTAGGTTCCCAAAACTTTCTGGAAGGAGGTTATTTCAGGTTTCCTTTTGAAGGTAAATATAATTTTCGAAAATATTTTGAACTTGGCCTTATTTTGGGAACAGCTGGACGGACAAGAGAGACAGAGAGCTGTGGAGTCCTTGGCACTAGCACGCTGCCCCCCCTCCCCCCCTCTCCATCTCCCTTGGCAAGGAAGACTCTACGCCCACAAAGATCACAGCTAACCTTGTTTCGCTGTTTCGGCTTTGTCTCTTCGCAAGGTCAATAGTCACATTTCCATCCGAGCTCCTTTCGGTTTCGGCCACTTTCAAATCCGTCCGCCTGTCTCCTAGGCGTGATTGAAGACATTAACACTGACGTGAAACAAACATAGTAAGGACTGAGCGGTAGTGTAAATAATCTCCACGCCGTAGTGAATAAACGGAAACACAGGAAAAGATTACATAATTTTTTTTTTCAGAATTATTTATTAACCAATGGCGAGTATAATGTAGTTTAATATGTTTATGAGGGCTTTACGAAGCAATATCTATCGTGTAGGAGTACACAAGGTTGATATTTCAGAGAGATTGAAGGATTAACAGGAAAATTGCTCGTGTATTATAGCGCAGTAATCCTTAGTTACGCCTCTGCCACAGAATAAAAAACTCGACGAAATTCTATGTTTTTTACTCAACATCATACTATAGATACAACATAGGTATTATAGATCCCATTTCCGGTCCTCTGGAGCGATGATTTTTGATGAATAAGCAACTAAACAAAAGGGGCTAATAATTAGATGAGGACGCGTGGTTCACAATCACTTCGGTCACACTTGTTCATGGAGTGCCGAATTGATAGGGTCTTATCCGAAAGAATATTTTATTCGAAAGAACGTAACCTGTGCGGCCTTCATCTAAATAATTAACCAAATGGGAGTTTCATGGAGAAGTGACGAATGTAAATTTCGATCCTCAAATTCCTAAAACTTAATTAAAGGTCATTGAAAAAAAATGGAGGTTTAAAAACTCAGAGGGTTTCAAGACAACGAATCGAAGTGTGATAAATTGCGTTTTAAAGATATCGACGCGATCCTGAATACTTGGTATGGTTCTAAAATCCAAAAAGTTTTCGAGATGAATTCTTGCTGAATGCCTTTTAGGGGCTTTGGTTTTCATGGGACATTTTTCAAATTTTTAAGTATTAAAAATTAAATAATTACTATTTAAGTCTTCTACGAATTAAAAAAATTTTTTTTTTCATTTTCCCTTGGACGTTTCAGGTAATATAAAAAAAACTGTTCTATATTTTTATTTGATAAAAAATAGCTATGTATGATTTTATGAATTAAGGTTTAAAGTATTAAAATATTGCTTTTTATGTTAGTCTTGGACAAACTAAAAATTAATTGAAAAGAAGGGTGGAGAGGAATAGATCTTATGATCCCTTGGGGACTTCAAATACTATAGAAACTTTTTGATATATTTAATAAATAAAAAAACTTCCAGGTACGGCTACTATACTCTCAGTAATAGACTTATATACTCTTAGTGAGAGAACTACCGAACAAGGCTCTAATGCACCAATCAAATTGTTATTGAGAAAGTACAATAATGAATTAGTTTAATTTCAAGAACAGCTGCTTAATTATAAAATGGAGGAATAATTGCAATTGGACAAGCTAATCACTTATAAGTAAATTGTAACTTGTCCTGGTAAAGTGTGACGCTTCACCAATTTGGTGTGTTGTGGTGTCGGGGTGGCCGAGCGGGCTAGCGCGTGTATATAAGAAGCGTGGCTCGGAAACCTAATAAACGGAAGATAACGAGTTCGAAACCTGGTGCAGAGAACTTTTTATCTGTCAAAAAAAAACAACTGTAAATTATTACACAATGGTTTATTATTTCTGGTTTACTGATAACAATAAATCCCATATTGGCTGACTTAGATAAATTTTCAGAGGGAATTTATTAATTTTTTTTGTCCTTTTTAAATCCTTCGACATCTTCATAATAACCTATGCGAGCTCTACCAGCTCATTATAGAACCGTGGGTAGGGCCGTTCCATTCCTCAGCGATGATGTGACCATATGGGTTCACGATGCTATAATAGAAAGGAACAGCATTTTAATGCCTATAATGCCTATACATATAGTACAACACAATAGCGAAAATGTTGTTAGGAGCAATAATTATGGAAAGTAACTCAATGAAATTTATTACAATTATTATCTTAAATTATCTTACTATGGTATGATTTCCACTAACAGTATATTAACAAAATATGGGTGTTATTAACTTGGGCAACATTAATTACATGCAATATCTTAAAAAAAAAAAGTAAATGAAATTTATGATGCTAAATAAAATTAAGAACGGCACAAAATTTAGAATACTAACCAATCCATTTCAGAAAAAAGTAACAATTTCCATTTTGAAGTGGCGTAATGGTTCTGAGGAGAAGGTATATGGAATATATAAAGAAACAGGGGCGCCCAGAAGGGGGGTTTGATGATGCGAGTAGCGCCATCAAAAATTTTTTTTTTTTTTGGGGGGGGGGGGGGGGCACATTTCGGCGGAGTTATGAATTTTCGAAACAAAGAGTTTCATACTAAGGGACAAGGGAAGAGCATGGAACAAATCGCAACAAGTGTAATAATATATGGTCTACGATTTTTCTAATTCTATCTTCGCTTGCTCTGTTTTTAAGAAAAGTTGAGCAATAAACTATCTTGATAGTGGGGAGAGGGAGATAGTTCTTGCGCCATTCACCTTGGGGGAGGGGGATGGACACCCCTATACAGAAGCATATAGCCATATCGCACTGATCTGATTCACCGGATTTATTTGCATCATTATGAATCAGTCACAAATTTGAATGATACAAATTGTGTATCATTACTTTTGGACTAATTTAAAGTAATTGATTTCCTTATGAAAACTGAATAACAAACGCAAATTAAGAATAAAATTAGCATAGGAGAAAAAATATTTTATCTCCATATTACAAACAAAAGGCAACCAAGCTTTAGGTTTGAACCTACATGTGTTTAAATAAAAAAAAAATATGTGAGATTAGCTTTTACCTCTTGCAGCAATAAAATAAAACAACGAAAGCAAGATGTTGCTCTAGATGATATATATTGTATGACATGAACTAGAAATTTGACGATGGAGCACATTATTATTATTTTTAAGCCTTGCATCCACAAGATCATTGGGATTGTAGTTCTGAAGATGGGAGTAAATATCCCGAAACGTAAACTTGTTAACATGTAACGTTGATAATATAAGAAATATATTCAATTGTTGCTAATTGGAAGTAATTATTGCCAAAAAACTAAGAATATTAGACAAGTTCCCAGAAAAAAGAAAAAAAAAACAACGAAGATTTTGAATTTAAATATAGAAAATATTTTTTAAAAAACGAAAATAATAAACTATAATAAAAAGGAAAATTTTGCAATGTCTATCCTAACAGCATTCAATGTATAATAAACAATTAGTGTTGTCCAAAAGCAAGACCAAGGCGAGACTTGCAGTTACTATTAGCTTATTGTTATCTATTAAACAGATTACTTTAGATATCAGAAAAACGCTACAGAATATATTTTATTGACATGGATGTTTTATTGACATAAACATAGCAAAGTCTAACCAACTTAACAAAATACATTAAAGGCATTTTCAATATGGGTGATAGGCCCCCATCTTGGAATTGAAGAGTTGTAGAGTAAAGAAAATCTATACAATGTCACCAATTATTTTTAAAAAAATCAAGTGTATCCACTTACACGACTTACCTACCAATTTTAAACATTTTCTTTTCCAAGTTTAAATATGTTTATTAAAAATAGCACAATTTAATTAGCGTAATTTCCTGATAAACGATTAGAGGAATCATTAGAGTATGATTTTTTGAGGAAATAAAGCAATGTAAGAAGCAAGTGAACAATTATTAAAATCAGTGTATAAAATGTAAATGCAACGTTGCTAAAATTTGTCCAATTAAGACGTTTTAAAAAAAATATTTGTTGGATATTTCATCTTGGTCTTGCTAAGTTCAAGACCAAGACCAATTTTGGTTTATATAATCTATCTGTCTCGGTGATGTTACAATACGATACCAAGTCTCAGTCTCTTGCTACAACCTCCTCTAATTGTCTCGATCTCGAGTAACTACTATCCAATTGTGGACTAGGATACTTCGGGCGTCAATAGTAATGTTATCCACCTTTTTAGATCTAGGTCTTCCAAGGCGTCATACTTTATCTAATTACCTTAAATATCTATGATTAATAATAGATGATCCTACCTGCTGGGTTGTGGCGGTGGTAGTCTGAGTTGTCTGTATCGTCTGCTGCCCGGACTTCTTCTGCAAAGACTCCATGACCGCCGAAATTTTCTCACCCGCCTCCGGCCCACCCTCTGCCGGCAGCTCGGGGATCTGCAAAAATTAATATAAATAAGTAAAGTATTTAGCTTGAAAAAAAAAGTAAAAAAAAAAAGTATAATTATATATTGGACCTCAGAAATATTCTAAAATCTTTATTTAACTATAAAGATAAAGGATAAGATAACATAAATGTTCAACTTAATCTTTGCAAAACTGTTAGTAGGAAGGTATGAAACACACTGATCTCAGGAGCACTATAAAAACAACAATGATAGATATTTTAAAATTTTCTTTTGAAAACTTTTTTTTTTCTCTTATGCCAGTCGTTGGTCATTTGGCCATCCGATATATTGCTGCCCTGTATAATTTAGATTTTTTAATATATATATATATATATATATATATATATATATATATATATATATATAATATATATATATATATATATATATATATACTTAAAAATATTTTTTCTCTTATGTCCCTCAAGGCAGGACATGTGTCTAGATGGATTTTTGAAAACATTGATCATACAGTTGTCCATCATTGTTCTTCAATCTAGAAAGAACTGGAATGTTTAAATCAACAAGGCAGCTTATTATTTACATTTAAAGTCCAACCTGTCCATCACTGGAATCTCTGTCCATAACTGGTGCGTTCGCCTTAGTACATATCAACAGTCAAAAAGGTCAATGGTCTGGATTTATTCCATATTGAGATTAAATAATAATGGAAAGCTTTTAGCATCTTTAACAATTAATGAACATTCTACTACCCCCCTCCCCCATCTAAGGAGGAAGGGCGGGGAAAGGGAGAAATTTCGGGTTGAAGCCTCCTGGATTTTTTTTTTTCATGGGTCCATAATGGGATCAGGGAACGACATTTATAAGAAATCAAAATATGTACTCTTTTTAAATTATCACAAATCCATTTCAGCTAAAATAAAAAAAATTAGCCCTCCCCTAATAAAAAATTAAAATCCACAATCTGCTACAGCTCTATCCCGATTTCTGCACTAAAAATTAATATAAATAAATAAAAATTATAACTAATACTAAAGCTGTACGAATTCTTATAACCTCGGTGTGGTTAGATGGCGTCTCACTTTCACAAATTCCAAGAATACAACAAATAAACCTTTCTGTGCCAAGAGAAAACTAATTTATCGCGTTTTCTCTTAAACGTAGGTGAATAATAATAATGACTTAAAAATATAAATTTTTAACTTTAAATATTAGTATAAGAATTTTTAAAATAAAAGTATCGATATAAATTAATGTAATAATATTAAATTATATAAATATAAATGTAAAAAAAAGAAAGAAAAACAATTTTACAGATATCTTTATAATTTTATTTAACTATCAGTTAAATTTTCTAAAAACTTTATTATTAAAAACATTTTATCAATTTCTTACAGACTAGCTGATGTACCCGTCAATGACGGGTGTATAGTTAAATTTAATTTAAATAAAATCAAACTGGATTTTTTTAGGGCATTTTTATCAAACCCTAGAACATATTTTAAAACCAACTTTAAAAAATCCCTCACAATTTTTCTGCAGAAAATATTTTAAAACCCACAAAATTTGGTCCAATAAAAAGCGGCTGGTACCTATTCTTTATAGCAATAGTTCAATATCAAAAGACAAAGCCGGGACTAAAAATTATAAAACCAAAGAAATCCATGCCAAACCTTATTTCAATAATTCATTATCAAAATATGAAGCCGGGCAAAATTCCAAGTAAACTGTAGAGAAAAAATAAAAACAAAACCCAAGGATGTTGGTAGCAAATCGTCATCCAAATAATTCAATATACGAAGCCGGATCGAATTCCAAGTTTGTGATAATCACCCAACCAAATACGGTTTCAAAAAATTATATGGAAACAGTAATTCAAGTCAATATTAATAATCAAAGCCTATTCAAATCCAAACGTTCACGTTGAGTTGTGATAATTTTTACCATCAGTTTGAAGTTGAATAGTACAACTTTTAAATGTGGCTCGCGGTAGATTAAGTTTGGATGAGAATCGAAGTACGTAATAATTACTCAAGAATTCATAACTTTGGTTCTACTCAATATTTTGTTTTAATTTAAAGCCCATGTTTTAACTCAAGCAAATCTGACATTAAATATAATGTCAAAATTTCAAAAGTCTGCCATTAGCCATTGCTGACTTACCCCTGACAAAATTTCGATGGACAATGCGGACATACAGACATTTTTTTTTTTTTAAAGTGGGTTAGGTGTCTGCAATGTATGGAACGGAAAGATATCATGAAACGGGTGGATTATATTCTTTGTACAGACAAAACCTTTATTTTATTTATATAGATATTGTTCTAATAATTCAGAATGAAGAGAGTTTATAAATCACATGTTTTGTGTCGTTGCAAACCAATTTATTTTTTTATTTTTCTTAAAGGAAAGTATATCATCACTTTTCTCTCTATAATATAACAACTTCATTTGTTTTATACTTAAATCCTAAGATAATTTCATCATAAAGTCGAGAAAAAAAGGTGACCTTCAAAAATATTGAGCCGTTTGACGTGACCTACATTCCCAAATTTTCAAAAAGACAAGCTTATATAGCACAAACGGCCCAATATTTTTGTAGGCCACCTTTTTTAATCAATTTTGTGATCAATTTATCTTATAAGCCAAGTAGAAACAAATGGATATTTACGAGTTTTTATTACCTAATTAAATAAACAAAGTTTGCCCCCTTCGAATTGAAAACGCCTCAAATTCATAGAGTTTTCGTAAATAAAATAGTTGTAGGTTACGATGAAATTAAACTATTTACGAAGTTTCAGGCGGATGTTAATAATTCGATAAAAAGGAGTCTGTACAACGGACAAATAATACAAAAAAAAAAAAAAATTAAGAGCTATCATAGGTATTTTAAGGAATAATATATAAAGTTTTTATGAAGATGCCAATCATAAGACACTTCTATTGTATGTAAATTATTAATAATTCATGTCATTTATGTCTATTAATTAAGCAATTATGAAACAGGTTATTTCAAGGGAAGATATTCTTGAGGTCGAATATTTTCTAAAACACTTAGATGAAGTAGTGGCAATCAAATAATTACAATTATGAAATGAACAAGGACAGATAGCTGTCTAAAAACATAATAGGATTCCAGAATTTACTGTCGACAAGTTACTAAGCAATGATTGTTTGCAGCTGTAAAAATATCTGAAGGACGCTAGTAAAAAGAGAACTAGTAAATGTTTCTAGGTTTAAAGGCTAGCGATTCTGGGTTAGCTTCATATATTTATTTCCAAGCCAGCTATATGGCACATATATTTTAATACTAACTGTAAAATTTAGAGGACATTTACAAAACTACATATTCGTGGAGAGGTCAGATTGGAAAAAAAAAAAAAGGTCGAAATATATTGATCTCGATATTTCTGATTAGGTTTGCCCAAAATCGGTCTTGGTCTTGTACTGTTACAAATTTCATTTCTGGGTAAGCGAAAAAACAAATTAACAGCCATGCTGTGAGTCAAAATTTTTCAGATATACTAACCAACAAAAGTTATTCAAAATATTAAATCTTTATCTTAAGTATGGAATACAAATATAAACGGGAAATCCGGTTCATAAGGTATTAAATAAATAACTTTTTCTCTCAAAATTTTAAAAACTTATTTGAAATATAGTATTTCAAACGCCACTTAACTTAGATTTGAATTTACCCAACACACATCTCATTGAGTAAAAGTTCTCATCTGTTGAATGAAAAGGGAAAATAGAAGTTAAATCGTAGACTAACAGAAACAGAAACACCTCAATTCGAAAGTACACTAAACTCTTCAATTAACTTATTGGAAACTTGCCATAGACTACTGATTGCGTAGTGCTATGTTGAAATTGCATTTTGTCAGTATTACTGAAGATAAAACTATAATATTACTGAATCCATTATGAGATGGATTATTTGATTAAAAAAAATAAAGGTAAAATTCTAATTTAAATGCAGCGAAACTACTGGCTTATAATGTTCACAGTCACATTTTTATGCTGGTTATTAGAACATATCAATATATTATATTATCAATATTATGTAGCATGTAAACATATAATATAACTTTGTTTTTATAGTAGTCCATGATACAGAACCCCTTTTATTGAATTATTAACGTCCGCCTGAAACTTCGTAAATAGTTTCACCTCATCGTAACCTACAACTATTTTATTTACGAAAACTCTTGGAATTGAGGCATTTTCAACCTGGAGGGGAGCAAACCTTTGTCTATATAATTAGGTACTAACAATTCTTAAATACTCATTTGATTTCTACTTGGATCTCAAGATAATTTGATCACGAAATCGAGAAAAAAGGTGGCCTATAAAAATATTGGGCCGTTTGTCCTATATAACCTCGTTATTTTGAAAATGTTGGGTTGTAGGTCACGCCAAACGGCTCAATATTTGTTAAGGCCACCCTTTTCTCGATTTTGTGATCAAATTATCTTACAATCGAAGTAGAAAGCAAATTAGTATTTACGAGTTTTTAGTATCTAATTAAATAGACAAAGTTGGCTCCCTCCAGACTGAAAACGCCCCAATTCCAAGAGTTTTCGTAAATAAAATAGTTGTAGGTTACGATGAGATGAAACTATTTATGAAGTTTAAGGCGGATGTTGATAATTAGATAAAAAGGTGTCTGTCCAACGGACTATAACTTTATTGTTGAAATAAGGTTTTAGGATACAATAAATAAATAAGTGAAAGTAAAAAATGTTTACTTATAGATTACTTTAGTGTTTTAGAAACTAAACAACAAAAAATTGAAAAATAACTTTTTAGGCGTTACAGTATTTTTACAAGCAATATATTTTATGTAATAATACAAAAGGACGTTCATAAATAAAGGCAGAAGAAATTATTTCTTATTATAATTATTTAAACGAGTATAAGTTAGGCAAGTTTAAAATTTTTCATCTGGAAAGTTTTTGCAATAATCAAATCTTTGCACATTACCTATTAAATATGAAAATCTCAGGGTCGTCACCTCAAAAGTCGTCGGGATGGGATGTACGGGTTCGTGTGGAAATAAGTTCTTGGCCTAGTGGGTTTTTGTTGTAAGTCAGTCTCTGATGGAAGTTTTTATAAAACCGTTTGGATGAGTAGCAAGTCGTTTGTCACATAGTACGGTCCGTCTGTTATTTTTCTCAAAACTATTGACTGAAAAGTTGTAAATTTTAAAAATGTTAAAGGCTTCTGCGGCATCCAATAAGTCCATAAAGGTTTTAAAAAGGAAGAACAAAGAAAAAATAAATTCGAAAAGGAAAGGAAAAATACATAAATTGAGAGCAACATTACAAATAGAGAGTAAATATCGTAATAGTATGTATAAAATATTCCTTATTATTTGTCTCAAGTATCATAATTCAAGGTGTATTAAGAAGTTAAGATATCAAGTTGAGACAAGTATAAAACCTGCTGTTGATTCATATTCTTAGATCACAAGCAATTAATTTGTGAATTTATGATAATGACATAAAATAAAACCTAAATCAATGATGCAGCCTAACATTTTTATAAGCCAATATTCATCAAACTTAACTTTGTTATTAACATTAATATTGGTTTGATAATTTCTTACTACATAGGCTGACGGTTGATTTATGTCAAATGAAATTAAATGTCTGGGTGTTTACATCAATAAAAATTAGACAGAGAGAATATTAAAGAAATATAGCAAAAATAGTTTTAATTTTTCTTGAATATTTTCCGGTCATCTTTGATCTTGACCTTTTAGTAATGAATGGTTCGACTATGGACTGACTAGCCAAGCGAGAACATAGTAGCAAAAATTATATTAAAATGTCCTTCGAAATAAACGTTGATAGCACTTCCGGTAATTATTTCATTGTTTCTATAAGATAGTTTAAGAATGGGTTAAACAAGCTTGAAAGAAAATACATAGTTAGTCAATATTTTAATATAAATTTTTAGTCGCCTTTCCTGTTAGTCGAATCGTTATGAAGGAATAGTAGTTGAATATACCTGAGGTAGAAGTACCTCCATGGCAGGCTGGAAGGCACTGAGGTAGACCAATACTCCTACCTAACTCCCACTATCCGCTCTAGACACATCTGGATAAGATGTGGAGGGGAGCCAAGTCTTTATCTTGAAGGTTCACCTCTAACGAGAGGTAAAGGTGTACATACCTGAAGGAGCCCAGGAGGAATGCGAACTCTCGGAAGAATACGAAGAAGGTAAAACAAGAAGCTAGCCGAGTCCGGACGAATCACATGAATTTCAATTCACAGTTAATTTCTGGTGGGTAACAGAAATTTAAACGAAATCAGCAACACCGATCTACTAGATAAAGTAATAACTTATGAACGATATGATAAATAAAATAATCTAGGAAGAGACAATTATTAAATTTGTTTCCGGAAATGACTTAAGGAATAATTAATTGTGCTAACTATAAGATCAGTTGTATTCATCCATTTGAATATTTAAATAGAAAACGATACCAGTTAAAATTTAAATTAAATCGTTGAAAACGCGCAAGGCAGCTCGAGAGCTTCATGACCTTGACCACATGAATGAATGAAAATAACTTCTATTCCGGAACATGTTGCCTCCTCAGAATAACGTAGTTCCATAGAATAGTTGAACGTTATAACTTGTATTAAGAATATATTTTATCATGCTAATACTTTACAAGTGTGAAGTTGTGCTGTAAAGCTCCACTTTGATGGATAGGCACAAGTTCTCATGATCATACTGTAGAAGATAGATAGAAAAATAAACTTTATTCTGGGACAGAATCTCCTAAGAATAACAATAATGAACAGATAAAAAAATACATATCTGTCCAAAAACTACCCTTAAAAAACACATTTGGCAGGCTTTTTTTTTATTTATTTTTTTATTTATTAATTTTCTTTTTATCTATTTATGTTTATTATATTTTCTCTTATTATTTTTTTTTCACTTGATTTCATTTCATTTTAAATTCATCTGTTTATTAATCTCAATTAATTTATTGATTCTACTGCTATTTTTTAAAGTTTCTTTATTTATACATTTTTTATACATCTTATTACCTATAAATGTCTATTGTTATCCTTATTTGTTTGTTTTATTCTATCAATCCATTTCTTTATTTATTTTTTGTACCAATCATCCAAATAGTATTAAATGATGTTATTTAGTTGATCGGGCGCTTATGACCTGGATGTTTTGCGCCTAGACATCGAAACAAACAAACAAACAAACAAAAATTATAACAATATATACAGTGATATAAATAATAATATGTAAACAAATAAAAATAAAAATAAAATCTCCTCAAGAATAATTATAGTTGTAATGGAAAAGAAAATATATAAAGAGAAAGACTAAAACTTGGAGAAAAGAGAAAATAACAAAAGTAAGTAAAGAAAAAGCATCATGTGTTATTTTACTACTGTTTTTTTTTTGTCTTTTTGTTTTGTTATTACTATTCTTTTTTTTTATGCTATCATTTGTTCTCCTTGATATCATATTTGCTGAATACCGATGTAGATGGCTAATTTATTAAGAGCAAGGAATATGTATAACTAATAATAATAATGATTTTTTATTTTAAAACATAAACAGTCGGCTAAAATTAAAAACTAACTTAATAAAAATTCTAACAATATACACAATAATTTAAATAATAATATGTAGAAAACTAACAAATAAAATCTCAAGAATAATTATAGTTGTACAGAGAAAAAACAAAAAAAAAACAAAAAACAATATATATAACTTAAGATAACAATTATAGTCAGATAATAGGTCATGAAATGAGCTAAAACAACTTCTATTTATTCTTTTTATTCAAAAGTTTCGATCCCTGTTTTTTAACATGAAATAATGGCTTTGTAACAGTACCTCGTTGGGGTTGTCAGAGTGCTGCCCGCCATGGAGTATCGATGCTCAATTAAAAAACTGAAGAGAATCCCATTATTTATGTTAAACAACAGGGATCGAAACGTTTGAATAAAAAGAATAAACAGAAGTTGTTTTAGCTCATTCAAGTATATTTCATGACCTATTATCCGACTATATGACCTGTTATCTTAAGTTATAATATATAAAGGTCGAATTATAAAAACATTGTAATATATTATATTGTAATATATATATATATATATATCTACGAATTTTCACAAATAGTCATTATCAGTTAAAAGCAGGACTTTAATTTCAGTTCGATACATTCGCTCAAAAGATATAAACAAATCTATAACGAGTCCTTATTCAGATAAGATTGGACCTTCCAGACGGTTCGGTTACCTCCGTCTACTTTCGGATGTACTCGGAATCCAGATATAAGCGTGATATTGAGATGTGTATGCCAACCTATGAAAGCGGAGCATAACTTGTAAACTAGAACCTTTGCCAGCAAAGTATTAATCAAAGATGATTTTTGTTTAAGTATAAATAAATATTGAATATTTAATAGTTGACCGTTGCATTATAAAGGAAGGAGATGGTCCGGGGTTCAGTTCTAAGTGAAACTCCTAGATGAACACACCGCCCTGATGAAGACCTGCAAAGTCGGGTCGAAACGTCGGCTTTCAATAAAATAGTTTTACTACTATTTAGCCTATTTATGACCGCAACCCCAGACCATCTCCTTCCTTTATAAATAAATATTGTTCGTATCGAACGAAGGATTGAAGATAAAGCATAGGAAGAGAGGTAGAAAAAGAAAGGTATAGATGAGGAATAATGGATGAGAATAGTCAAAGAATATTATAAAGGAATATCACTATTAATGAAAAATCATTAAAGGAATCAGTTCTAAGGAGTACACAGGTTGAAAGGTTAAATCGTTACATTTATATACTGTTAAGAGGAACATAAGAATGTAGGTAACTTATTTGCTCTATAAGAAAGACAGAAGGAAGTAATCATTGCTGTATAAAACAAAAAAATTATTCCTATCTTCTTCTTAAAAATAGTGAAAACGAAAGTAGAATTTAAATATTCGTAGATTATATACAATTACACACACTGAGGTCTGTTCCATGAACTTGCGCCATGAAACCCCTTCTGGGCACACCTGAACAGGAGACAAAGGAGTACATAACCTTAAACGAATTGAGTGAGATTCCGAACACCTTTTTTCCGAACAATTACGGTATTTCCACAAGAGGAGTATGATTAGCTCTGAAGTGAAATAGCGTTTCTTCCCAGAATCTATGAAAAAAAAAAAACTGGAATAACAGGTCGAGATCCTTGTGTGTTCAATCCCGATTAAATATGTTTTTGATTTCATAAATATGTAGGTGTTTAAATTTAATCATACTTACGGAAGTTAATTAAGTTCATATTTAATTTATGAAAGTTAATTAAGATTCCACTATTTATCAAAATGCAATAAAAACCAACAAAACTCAAAAGTTAAATGTTTCTTAATTAAAAATTATCTACTATTATAAATATGTAACACGTGCATGGACGTCATTCCGTTCTAAACTCCTGAATACTATAAATCTAATGACGTAATTTACGTCAGAGGTGAACAGTGAAGTGGAGTGGTAAAATAAGTATTAAAAGGCGCACTTAAAAATTAAATTTTTTAAAATAAAAAATTCGCAAGCACGTCCGATACGGTAGAAAAATTATAATTCTATACATTTCCGAAAATATTTATAAGAGCGAAATAATGTATTTTTTTATTTAATCAATAATTTTTACATGTAAATATTATACGAAAGTAAATATCGCACATAAGAATGAATGTGTTAAGAATATTTACTTATTGATTTATTTCTCATTTCATTTATGTATTACTTATATATCATATTCTATTTTTTATAAATATTTTATAAATATTTTTTAAGTATTTATTTTAATTTAATTTTTTAAATTATTCTAATTTATTTTCATATTATATGTATATTTGGTATGAATGAACACATTTAGCAATAAAACGTATTGCCCTTCAATGTGACAGATTGTATTATTTACTATTCAATAAAAAAAAACCACAATTAATAGAAATATAAAAGAAGCATTAAGACTTAACAGTTATATTCTATATATAAAAAACACGTACAATATACGTACGTCCATGGGCGTCATTCGTTTCTAAACAACCTGAATACTGGAACTCTACTGACGTAAATTACGTTAAGAGGTTAAAAGCGAAGATGTGTAGATGGGAAAAAAGTATGTATATATATATATTTTTTTAATACTATATATAAAAATATATATCCTCAAAATCTTAAAAGACTCTATAAAAAAAATTGCGATCCTGTCGCATATGACAAGAAAAACAGTAATGATTCGGTCCATTTCCGAAAATACGTCACAATAATGGTTATATTTATAAGGACAAGGTCATGTATTTTGGTTTTCGGGATTATATATTTATTTAATCAACAATACTATTATTATTTGAAAAGCTTAATATTAATCTCAAGGTCAAATAAATTGACCTGATAATGACGATACAACCTGCGTAAGCAGCTGATATCATGGTATCCACTATCATTCATCTATGTGCTGCTCATCTGTACCAGAGAAATGTAAAAATAACGTGAGTGAAATATAATTTCTTATTAAAATATATGAAAATAAAAACTCGATCTTTAACATTGTATTTCGATAAGATTTGTAACAAATAAAAAAGATATGAATCCAAGAAAATGAAGAAAAAATGTACTCAGTAGAATTTATCATCAAGCTTATTAATAGAGGGTTGAAAAGATCTCAAAAACGTGGATTAATCTGCATGTAACAGCCAATCAGACGAAAGCATAGGCGTGCATCTTATGACTTCCCTTCAGCCTGAATCATAATTAAGGAAATGGCTTGTCATTAGTACCCTCACTCCTGCTCTTTTAAATGTTCTTTTAACAACTCGGATGATTGCCTCTCCTCATTAGACGTCTGCCCTTAATGCCAACCTAGATTTACCAATGTAGGCTAAGGACGTGCCAATTCTGCGGACGAAAGATGGATCAGCAGATCATCGCACTGCGCAGCCAAGTGTTCGTAAGGAATGTTCTTTGACACTATAGGATCCAAAAACATACTTATATACCACAGGCATTGCAGATATACAACCGATTTACGATATATAGAAGCAATAATA